AATACTCAGGTAGGCTGTGGCGTTGCAACGATGCTCAATTGGTACCAAGGGGCCCAAAGAGTGCCAAGAAAATATTCCCCACACCATGACACAACATGAGTGATCTACTGGCATCCTTTGTAAGGTCATAGCACATGACAAGGCTCCTTAAGATACTAAAATAAATCTAGTAAGAATTTATAAAAAGGTCAACATAACTTTACTAGACCTGACCAGCTTCCAGCTTTGTTGTTTTATTTTAAACAGAAGCAACACGTTTATGCAAACAAATCAAAGACCAGAACTCTTCAACTTTATATCAGTAAGTTGTGGTATGTTTGTAGTTTCCTTTTATCCAGATAAATATTACAATGAGATTTTAAGTCAGAACTTTTTGGGTAATTTCACCTTTTGTTTGACCCCACAAACATCACATCAAATTAATGTTAGACCAATGTTGAGCAGTGTGGAAGTTAATCTGTGGACTTCAGCAAGAGATTTGTACAGACCTAGGGCAGGTCAGAAGGAAAAACAGCTGTTAAAGCATTTGCTTGCATCTGAAAACTACATGCTTGCAGAAAACACCTGTGGTAGACTTAATGACCCAGCTGTTGTCTCTTGTCAAACTATCTGCAGTAGTCAAAGCATTAAGGGTGATTTATTTTTTTCAGATTTTGTCCTAGCATTGGTGCAAAACATGTTTCTGTTGTTGAAATAAAAGTATTCATCTGTTTAAAATAAAGATGAGAGGTCACCTATGCTTACCTGTACATTATATTTAAGATTTCCTCTGTCATCGATATGCTACAACAGATCGGTTTAGCATTATTCCTATTTTATTGGAGTAATTACCTTCGCTGGGATTTACCTGTTTTCTACTTTTAGAATTTCAGATTGTTTGGCTTTGAAATGTAATCTCAGGCCTGTTTACACTTCAGGAATACTATTTAAAATGTGATACTTCATTGTATCACATTCAATTATATCCCACCCCTTGACAATTTAGGAGGTGTTGCTCACACACTTAAAATCGTTCCCATTAATCTTTATGAGGGCTGCACCAGTTTTTATCATTTCCTAGATGTTTATTGCCAAAAACAGACTGACTTCTACTGAAAAACCCAATGACTTCCTGGAAACATAAGCCTTACACTGAGGTGTCTGCAGACGGGCCAACTGTGACTGAGAGGAACTCCGAAGGAGTTCTCCGTGTCATTGAACCTGTCCTACTTTTACTCCCCACTTTATCCACCCCTGTGAATTATTCATCTCTATGTTACAGCTACTGACAAACACACTTAGTTCAGTTATATCTGACCTACAAATTAAACAGAAATAGCTTCTTGCTGCTGCAATTCTTAGTGCAAAATATTCATACATAGATCTCTGACAGGAAGTATTGCTCAGAATTGTTTTAAGAGAAAATCATGCTTGTGAGGTTAATTTTTACCAGTAAAACCGTAGAAACACAACAAAAAAGCTATCCAGAAGAAAGAAGAAAATAATCAAATGTTTGCATAAAAAGGTCAGCATTCATGATTAAATGCAAGGGTGTAAATCACATGTACATTACACAAGAGACTTTTAATTATGAAAGGTGTGCAGGTGTCACCTATAGACCAAGCATTTTGGTATAAAGAAGCCTTGGGCATTTCAGCAAAACAGAGCCAAACAGTGATCTGCATCTATTTCAGCAGTTTGGGCTGTGATATGAATCATGAGGGTAACCTGCCTTGCTTACAGATCAAGCATCTCACAAGCCCTAGCAACATGTATGACAAAACAGCTGGAAATGTGATATTTAAAGCTGAAAAAGAACATGTATTTTTGCCAGCACTTAAAGTGATAATCTCAAAAATCTACAGAACCCCAACGGATAAGCAGAACATTTTTTACTTCAAAAACTGTTTTTTTTTTTTTTTTTTTTCTTCACCTCCACCCATAAACCAGGAGTGACAAAATTAAAACGTCCAACTGAACAGAACAATGTGTCTCTGGTAAATTTTCAGGAGGATGTTTTCATTGTAACGGCTATTGATTTGGGCTCATTGAAGAAGCTACGTATCCGTCATGATAATACTGAGCCTTACTCAGCCTGGTACCTGGATCGAGTTGAGATAGTGGACACAAAAGAAGATATAACGTAAGTTTAGCATGTGCTTCAATGCATTTTTCTCTTTTTTCAGACTGAAGATCGAGAAAAAGCAACGTTTTTTGGTGCAGCAGTAAAACTAAGATAAATGTGCCCTCTTCTTTGAGTTGTAGCTCTAATTAGTGTAGTTTGGGGGTTCTTGTAGGTATTACTTCCCTTGTAACCGTTGGCTCGCAGTGGATGAGGATGACGGACAGATAGCAAGAGAGCTGGTTCCTGTTGACGAGGCCTTTATGAAGCAGAATGAGGATGAGGAGGGGACCGGCGCAACTTTGGGCCTTGAACAGAAATGTAAAGTGTCCATGCCTTAATCAGCTGATACAAGCAGAATGTATAGGTTAGTATGATCTAATTTTAACCTCCTAAATATTCGGTTTTCAGCCATGTCTACTACCTATACTGTTAAAATAAAAACTGGGGAAAAGAAATATGCTGGAACCGATGCCAATGTGTTTGCCATCCTGTTTGGTGAAAAAGACGATACAGGTGAGGCAGACAGATGTCCTGGCGTTAACCTGGCAGCTCAATCATTGTTTTTAAAGATTAACTGGGAGGTTTAACCATTTTTTTTTATGTAGGGATTATCAACCTTAAAGCGTGTAAAAACTATAAGAACAAGTTTGAACAGGGGATGATCAATGAGTTCACCGTGGAGGCCGTAGACTTGGGTGAACTGGAAAAGCTCCGGATTGGACATGACAACTCAGGCGAGTTTTAAAGGAATGCAAAAAAACTATACGCAAATGAAAAAATAGAAAGTTGTTGATATGAATAAAAATCACACCCGAATATGTACTGTTTTATTTTTTCCTTCAGGAGGATCATCTGGATGGTTCTTGGACTGGGTTGAGGTTGATGCGCCGTCTCAGGGACAGAGACTACGATTCCCATGTGGCCGCTGGTTGGACAGAGGAGAGGATGATGGAGCGATTGTGAGGGATCTCTATCCTGCTGACTTACAAACTGAAGTTTACACTCCATGTAAGTAAACACGTTCTCAGGGGTGGGTAATAAATAATGAAGTCCATAAAGGCCAATGGGAGCCACTCAGTGAAAATTCAGATTTAATACTAAAAGAAACTAATCAAACCTCCTGGGTTTTTTTCTCTCAGTTGTGCCTTACGAGATCAAGATATTCACCAGTGATGTGTTTGCTGCGGGGACAGACGCTGATGTTTTCATCGTCTTATACGGCCAAAACGGGGTGTCAACGCAACAGAAGCACCTTTGCGTCAACAAGAGAGAACGAAGGCTGTGCTTTGAAAGAGGAGCAGAGGACATGTTTATTGTGGAGGTGAGTGACCAGATTTTAAAATAAAAATCTTTCATCACATCTTGCTGCTGGTTTTTCAAACAATCAGCTGTTCATTTGCAAGCTGGAGGACATCGGTGATGTAATAGAGAAAATCAGGATTGGACATGACAACAGAGGAACCAACCCAGGATGGCATCTTGACAGGGTGGAGATCAGGCGACAGCTGCGCAAAGGGAAGGTATCTAGACTACACTACCATAGATAACTGCATGAATTAAAGGTTTATGTCTCTCAAGACCAATTCAATTGTTAGCAGATTAGTATTGTTACATTTTTTGGTCACCCTTCTCTCAGTTTCAAACTAACCTCTCATATTTGACAGTCAAACTCATGTGTCTGTGATTACTGTCAGGGTTCGGAAACCACCATATTTCCATGCGAACGCTGGCTAGCCAAGTCTGAAGATGATGGGGAGACAATAAGGGAGCTGGTCGCCTCTGACATTATCACACAGAAGCTACTAAGGGATGGGACACTAAAAACAACAGAAATTGAGGTGGAGGATGCTCTGGAGAGTAAGTTATGCTGTCATTTAGATTATGAGGTTTTTTTCTATGAACATCTTCTCTAAGCTTCATACTTTTAATGTTTTTTACAATCTTACAAGCTTTTTGTGCTTTTGTACAATTAAAAGTACAAATTGTCATCAAGAGTACTTTGCACTGCTCTAACATGTACACAAACACTGATAGTAGCTTAGATGCAGCATGTTAAACATTATTCTGTTCTTGGAGCCTACATTTAAAACACGGTTCCCTACTTAAATACATTTCACTCTCTTATTCTGTTATCACTGACTTGGGAAAATTCATCTGTTACTAACCTTTAAATAGTCTGAGGCTATGTTGATAAATTTATGAGAATGCAATTTGAAGGTACTTTTATTTTAGGTCACGGAGCATTTACTTAAAACTGCAGATTTTCGGTCAGTGTTGCTTAGTCTGTGCCTCTCTCCTGTATTGGCTTGGTTGCCTTAAAGAAGAAAGACAGACTGAGTTGGGTTTCCTTTTCAAAGATTGGTAGCAAAGAGATGGAGTTTGTTGACAAATAGGAAAATATTTTGCACCAGCTAATTCTCAGTACAAGCATCTTCAGCTTATTTCTGGGAAATCAGAGTTCAGTCCTCAAGGGTCAGTGACCTGCACCTTTTTAGATGCATTTTGCTTTAACACACATGGATGAAATAATTAGGTCTTTTGCAGGACTGTCTAGGAGTTCAACTGAGGAGGCGATTAAACCATTTGATACAGGTGTATTGGACAAGGGAGGTTTCTAAAAGTTGCAGGATACCAACCCTTGAGGACTTGAGTTTGAAATCCCTGGCTTATTCTGATGCTTCAATGTGACTACCAGAAACCGCAAAACTGAATTTTACGGAGCAATCAAAGCGCTGTATACTCCTTATACCAAGTAATGTTATCGGTTTCAAAATTTAAAAAAAAAAGATCAAGAGAGCATGTTACCTCTTCAAAACTACCTTACTGAGAAGCAGAAGAGCAGATAATTGGAATATTTTCATCAAGATCAGCATTTCAGACTGCAAAAACAATCTGAAAATGAGTAAGAATTTCTTAAAATAAGTGTATTTCCCCTTAATTTGAGTATGGAAAATAAGATGATCTGCCAATGGAATGAGCATTTTTACCCTTAAAATAAGATGATTTGACATTATGCACTTGAAATAAGAGACTGTTGTTGTTTTTTCTTAATTTAAATATAAATTGTCTTGTTCCAATTGGCATGGTGTCTCACTTACTGTACCTGCTTAATTGCAGAAAAAAACTTATTTTAATAAAAACTGACTTACTTATATTTACATTTTTTGCAGTGCAGTTATTGAAATATCATTGTTGCAGTGGAAATGTGTGAATAAGATATACAATTTTTTATACAGGTTATATTATGTTCGATATATTTAGATTTTTATATGCTAGACCCTCTTAAGGGGCATACAGGGGGTTTGATTATCAGCTTGCAGCCTTACAACATATATTAGAAACAGCTGGTGAAACATGTATCTATTTTGCAGTTAATTTTAAAAACTGCTAAATCATTTTATTCAACCAGTCCAGACAGGAGTATCTCCCAGGCAGATGCCTAAGATCATCACATGAAGCAACTTTTATTTGTTTCTGCAGTCCTCACAAACAGGCTTTTGGCCACATGTGATTTCTGCCTGTTTGTCTTTCTCTGGGTTAAATAGACCCTGATTTCTGGTCTCTGTTGTATTTAAATTGCTGTTTTCTGCTCCCTTTCTGGTGAATTGTCTGCTGGGGTATTCCAGTTCCTGCTTTCTTCATGTCAACATTAAAACATATCAATCAATACGTGCCTGTCAATGTCCTGCTTCTTCAGTCTTTTGCGCAAGCAAACCTTGCCATTACACTCTGGTTTGTCTCTAACGACAGTAGACTAAAGCGTCTAAAGACCCCTGTCTAACCCGCACCACCTGTGGTGCCAATAGGGTAGTCTCAGTGTTTGATGAATTTTTTGAAACATTTTCTGCCCTTTTTCAGCAGATATTTGAATCCTTTACCGTGGACTTACAAATTACTGAAATCTTCAAACAAGACAATGAAATCTGGCAAAATAAGCAGAAACAGCTCCTTCATTTTTCCATAAAATATAACATAAAATACATTTCTGATTCAGTTAGATTTTTTTGGTTTTTAAGTTTTTCTGACTTTGATCCAGTCAAAATCCTTAGCTTGTGTTCCTTCCACCTTTTTTTTTGTTTTGTTTTGTTTTGTTCTCTTTTTCTGACTGCAGTTGTTCTTATATGTTATATAATAGACCTCACAAACCTTCAAATTTTTTGGTGGAAAACCCCTGAAACTCAACTCTTCACAGCTTGTATCTGCAAAGTTAATGACTGGCTGCAAACATAAAAGAGATTTAGAGCTGTTTCCCAGAGAAATGTGCAGAAACTCTGCTGTGAAGGAATGCCTGACTAGTTTCCCCATGCTAATGTATAGACAATGTTTACTACTAGCATCATTAAAAGTAAAACATCCCAGAGGGTTAGAACAGTGGGATACGTACTTACAATAGCTGATGTTATTCTGTCATTATAGAGACTCACTGGAGTTGGTTCCTTTCCTATATTTTCTGTATGTTTTTGAACATTTCTACAACAGCCCAACATCTAGAAAAGGTTTTCATCTTCTAATGTTTAAAAATAAATACATTTAAAAGAATCTATGCAGTAAAAAAATAAATAAATATATAAAATGTTTGAATTCTGCCAAAGATCTGACTTTTAAACATAAAGCATGAATAAAAAAAAATGGCAGAGGTCAGCCCATTCCAGAAGTAAAGGTTCTGATGTGTGTCTGGGTTCAATGTCCTGTCTAAACACACCCTTCAATACTCCATACATATGGCAACATGATGCAACTTGAACCAGTTGGGGCTGTTGTTCGAAAACCTTACATTTTGCTCTTCTACAGTAGCACCTGCTCTGCTCAACCCAACTCAGCTCTGCTTGACTTTTTGTGTGGTATGCATTTCAGGAGAGTACTACTATAATGTGGGTTGAATCATCCTAATTAAAAAAAGTTAAATCCTAAGAACAACTCCATCATATCTTTTTAGCATGGAATTGATTTCAGTGTTTTCATTCTCTATAACGCTCAGAAAACACTCAGCTCCTGTTGCGGGTTCTTAAAAGCATTGACTTTTAGGTGGCAAGCAGGATTCTCTACCGATCCTGCATAAAACAGTGATCATATATTGAGCTAAAGTTAACCTCGCAGATCAGTGAAGGCTAACGAGTTTACTTAAGGTGCAACCTGCCAATGGATACAAAAAACACTGGTGGGGCGATGTGTTCATATTATAGACCCTTTAGAATAATTTAGAAACAAATAAGAGTTAAAAAAAATATAAGCATTATGCTCCCAGTTGTTTCTGCTTGAAAATTCATCAATAAATGTCTATATATTTTATGAAATTGATTTCCATGACTGTGACTTATGTGATAATAAATATACACAAAAGTGTATTATTATGAGTAACTAAAATGAGCTTTAAAATAAGGCTTGGTTTGTTCTCCTTCACAGCTCACACATACCAAGTCTCTGTGCGGACAGGTGACATGTACGGGGCAGGAACTGATGCCAATGTTTTTCTCACCATCTACGGAGACCTGGGAGACACTGGGGAGCGCAAACTTGCCAAATCTGAAAACAACAAAAATAAGTTTGAGAGAGGAGAGGTATTTGTAACTTTTGATAGCTTATACCAGTGATGGTCACAGACATTTAACGCTGTAAATCCCGCATTCTTTAGGTGGACAAGTTTACTATTGAGGCTGTGGACTTGGGGCAAGTGTTTAAGATTCGAATTCGTCATGACAACACCATGGTGGGAGCAGACTGGTACCTGGACCAGGTTGAAGTACAGGATATGGAAACAGAGGAAGTTTATATGTTTCTGTGTGAGCGCTGGCTGTCAAAAAAGAAAGAGGACAAGCAAATTGACAGGATCTTCTATGTCAAGGTTTGTTTTATTATACATTATTTTTATAAGCAGGATAAGCTCAGCATGCAATTTCGGGTGGCGCATGTACTATCTACAACAAAGCAATCTAGATTTTCCTTCTGTGATCAGCTGATTATCTTCTGATGGTTACCAAGGCAAAAATAAATTGAGGAGGGAATATCACATTCAAGATGAAAAATTAAATGTTTCCTTATATATTTTTTAGCTTTATTTGATTTAAGAAACATCAAAGAAGAGTTTGCATGAAGCAAAACGTTCTTTTTGTAGGAAATTATAACTAAAATCACATAAACAGATATTGTAAAAAAATGCTTCTTAAAAAATATTTAATTTTGCTTTGAATGTTATTGTGGGTTTTTTTGTTTGTTTGTTTTGACATCAGTAGTGGTCCTAAAGATCCCTGGGTTTATTCGTCTATCTTCCAACGTACTCCTTTTTCATTAACCACAAGCTTCCATTTATTATTCTTACTTTCATTCATAGCTACACGCAAACCATTTAATATCTATGTCCTTTGGTTTTAACTCCTTTTCTCCTGTGAGTTCACTATTTGATTAATTATCAATCGAAAAAAATTATAATAATATCGAATCTATCACAGAATTTATTTCCACTCTCTTTGCTGTACATTTTCTTTTAAAGACCTTTTCTGTAGATTTTGGTTTTGACCACTGGGCCACTTTTTCCTTATAAAACATAATCCATTAGAACCTAATTTTTTAAACTAAATTATTGAACTGGTGAAACAACTAGCATTCTATATTTCTTTCATCCTAACTCATTTAAAACAAGTCTTAAAAACAACAAAAGATTAGATAAAGCTAATGTTACAAATAAAAAATAGTTTCTAAATTGAGCTATAGGGACAAATAATTTTTATATCCTTAAAATACGCATTTTTCTTTTTACATAATGTTCTTTTCATTTATTTTTTTCTTTTTGTTTACATACAGGGGTATGAGGGTGACAGGAATATCGATCCATATTTCATGAAGATGGCCCAGTCTAGACAAGGACTCGATAAAAATGCCAACAAGAAGAAAAAGAAGAAAAAGGTGACAGTAGCCGAAGAAGGTCCAAGTAAGCGAACCTCTAAAAATAACTAACATCAACATAAAAGCAATTTTAACACCAGCAGGAAGCCACCTGTCAGTCCAATTTCACAAAAATGTCCCTGAAGCATTAGCAGGTTGTATATATATATATATATATATATATATATATATATATATATATATATATATATATATATATATATATATATATATATATACATTTAATTAAATTGGGAAATGCAGGTTCCTGATGAGTTGGTAAATAAAGCTACATAAAAGACTGCCTCTATGGATCTGTAAACATTTTAGGATTTGCAGATCCCTTTGAGAAACAAAAAAAAACTGCAGAGACGAAGAAAAAAAGGCAAAGATATGGAACAGGTGTGCAGAGCAGGTGGTAGCATTTATAAAGTATTAAAAAGGGATTACTGTGCCTTCTGAAGTTCTGCTCAATTTATATTACCTTTATGGTGATTAAAACATCATGATATATAAACTGAACGTTGGTTTAATACTAGCAAGAGGCTGTCTAATTTTATGATCTTACAGGCCATATAGCCAGGGGCTTGAAAGCCTCTGGTAGGATCACCCATGGCAAACAGACTTTGGGTGATGGGTCAGACAAAGAGAAGTTTAAAATGCATTTATGCAGACTACAACATAGAGGCAGGTGACATCACCCACTACAGCACAGCCAAACCTCCCCCTGGAGCCAACTCTGGGGTTGGGGTTCATATGTAAGCTCTTTACGGGTAGGTTCCTCCTCAAAGGACTAAGCCAGGCCAAGCCCAAAGGAGTGACTCAATTCCATCGCCCAATGAACCCACCACCTGAAGGGAGAACCATGGGACTGATGCTCTGAGGAATGGGCAGAGTCAGACACCAAATCTACAGACAAACTTTATTGAACTTTTGTGCAAGTCATTGGTTTTCTGTAATAAGCACCAACTTAAGCTTAAGGATGTCCATCACTGCACCAGGACACCCAAAGCCAGAGATCAATGATTGACTCTAGGTTGTATCTTCTTACCTTCGGCTGTATGTCTTTGACACTTGGGTGAAGATAGGGGCAGACCTGTCCACCGATCACCACCTGGTGGTGAGCTGGTTACACCGGAGGAGGAGGTAGGCAGACATGCATGGCATGCCCAAATGAGTAGTGACGGTCTGTTGGGAACATCTGATAGAGCCTTTAGTCAAGGAGTTATTCAACTCCCAACTCTGGGAGAGCCTCTCCCAGATTCCAGGGAAAGCTGGGGACATGGAGCCCAGGTAGAACATGTTTTTTGCCTCATTGCTGCCACCCATAAGTATGTGGTCTGTGGTGCAGCCCTCGGTGTTGGACACAGGCGGTAAGGGATGCTGCCAAGCTGAAGAAACTTGATTGGCTTGTAAGACTCCATAGAAAGCAAGTATACATCATGTGTCCCAGGATGCTGCTGCCTGGCTCCCTGAGGCAAATACTTGGGCCTGGGAGGAGTTTCAAGAGACCATGGAGAAAGACTGTTGGACGGCCTCTAAGAGATTACAACACCTCTGAATGGAGAAAAAGTGCATGGCGTACAGATTTTCTAGTGGGGAACTGCTGGCCTTAAATGAGGACATTGCCTGAGGATCTTCTCAACCCAACTAACATTCCTTCTATGGAAGAAGAAGGAATACAATTTCTGTGGTGGCATCGCTTTGAAGTAGAGGAGAACCGCCCTGAGTACCAGGACTCTCTGGATGTTGTTGGGATGCCATGGCTAACACACCTCTTCCATAATGAGTGAGGGACAGGGCCAATGCTCTGGACTGGCACACTGGGGTGATGGTTCCCCACCATAAGAGGAAAGAGCAAAGGAGGATGTTTCCTAAATATAGGGGGTCACACTTCTAAGCTTCAGAGGGAAAGCCTATGCCCGGATGAAGGAGTGGAGAATCTGGCTGATTGCTGAACCTGGTCTTTAGGAGGAGCATTGCGGTTTTTGTCTCAGCCATGTAGAGCTGGACCAGCTCTATACCCTCTGCAGGATGCTCAATGGTTGATGGGAGTTTACCCAACCCTTCCTCATGCATTTTGTGGAATTGGAGAAGGAATCAACCGTGTCCCTCTTATTGTCCTTTGAGGGGTGCTCCAGGAGTATGGAGTGGGGGACCCTTTACTGGGTGCAATTTGGTGTCTGTACAAGCGAACCAGAAGTTTGGTCCGCATTGATGGTATGAAGTCAGAACTGTTGCTGATGATTGTTGGCCTCTGGCATGGATGTCTTGTGTCTTAGGACCTATTTATAACCTGCCTTTATGGACAGGATTTCTCTTCAGCCAAGGCCTGAAGGGGGTCTGGTTTGAGGACCAGTGGATCTCTCTCTACTTTTTGCAGACTTGGTTCCACTAGCTCCCTCCTGCCAAGACCTGTACATGGACCTGAGCAGTTCCCTGCCAAGTGTGAAGCGGTCAGGATGAGAATCAGCTCCTCCAAGTCCTAGCCCTCAATTCTAGACTAGAAAAGGGTCCCCTTTAGGTTGGAGGAGACTTCCTGCATCAAGATGAGGAGTTCAAGTATCTTGGGTATGTTCAGGAGTCAGTGGAAAACGAAGCAGGAGATTGATAGACAGATCAGTGCGGCTGCTACCATGTTCCATATACTGATCTTTTGTGATGAAGACAGAGCTGGGTGAAAAGGCAAAGCTCTCGTTAACCGCTCCATCTATGTTACCACCCGCAACTATTGTATCATGCATCATGACGGAAAAGAATAGATCCCGGATACAAATTGCTGAATTGAGCTGTTTCCACAGGCTGGCTGGGACTCCCTTAGCGATAGAGTGAGGAGCTTTGTTATCCATGCAAGACTGCGAATACTTTCCTCAAGGGCCTAGGAGAACACAGGAGAGATCACATCAAATATTAAAGGCATTAAAAGCACCTTAGAGCATTGGCGAGATATAATCTGTTTTTTATTTTGAGTAATACTTCTTTTTACACTTAATGACCCTTTAATAGCATCAGTGCAGGACTTGTTTCACAGTGGATAACTAACCAGCTTCAGCCAGCCTCTCAACAAGTCATTGTTTTGGGGTCTCATATCACACCAATAAACGTTCACCTCATGGACACAAAACTAGTTTTCATTAACAGTATAATGTTTGTTTATTTATTTGGTGCTCATACATGTACATATTTGAGCAGATAGATGCAGAACCTTCAAACATTTAGAAACTGCCCTCAAGGATAAACCACACCTGTACAGGTCAAAAACTCTCCTTAATATTTTGACAGATTTATTTGGATTCTTCAACAATTTAGCAGGAGGTAAAATTGTCTTTTTAAAGCCTCTATTTTTCTTGTTATTCTAGAATTTAGAAAATATAAATAATTAAATTACTTAATCCTTAACTGTCCTGCAAAAAGTTTATTCTGATCTAATGTTTAAAAGTTAAAGAAATAAGAGTATATGAATTTTTAAACACAGTATGTAGCCATTTAGTTTCAACCACTTTGGATAAACGAACTGACCTAAAAATTGCATTGAATTATTACTAATAACTGTAGCACATCATAAGAATGATAAATATAAATATATGAATTTCTTGTCAGAAAAATAAAGGATTGATCATTGTTATTATTATCCCACAAAAATATGTTTTTTGGTGTAATATTACTTATTTTAAGTAACCAATGTTTAAAACAAGGATTGGAAATTCTTAATCTAATGTTTTCCCATTATGCAGTCATCCCTTATCACTTTACACTGTCTACGGGAATTGACCGGGATGCCAGCACCACAGCCAGGGTTTATGTCATCATAATCGGCCCTAAGGACGCGGAGACGGACCGTCTGTGGCTGGACCTGGCAGAAGGGAAGAAATCCTTCGCAGCTGGCAGCATGGAGCACTTTGTGTGCTATGGAGCTGACGTAGGAGAGATCAAGAGGGTGGAAGTGAGAATCTGGGACTGTGTCTGTAGCTAAATCTGTAAAGCTGACTGTCTCCTCTCTACTGCCTCCCCCCTCCTCCTCCTCAGATACACTGATGCTAAAGATTTAGGAATATCTAGCTCAGCACTAATTAACACTAGCTGCACTGTATGGTACACGGATCAAACAAAATCAAATGATTTCTGAATTCCCAGCTCTTCCTCCCCCTCCATCTCTTCTCTTCTATTTCTCTCTTGCTGCTGCTCAGCTCGGCCATAATGGTGTCACACCAGAGAGCTGCTGGTTGGTGGATGAGCTGTCGGTTGCTGTGCCAACCAAAGGTATCAAGTACATCTTTCCATGTAAGTGCTGGCTGGCCAAAGACAGGGGAGACGGTTTGACTGTCAGACTATTAAACGTGTTGGACTCCAGCACCATCAACATTATCCGCAAAGTGAGTCACTGTACCGAAAATATGATCTCTGGGAAACCATACCAAAACACAGAGATCCTCTACTGTTTGTTTTTTATTATCTCTATTCTATATGCAGGTTATTTATTCAGTCACAGTTGTCACTGGAGACACTCAGTATGCAGGGACGGATACAAAAATTTTCCTGACTGTGTTCGGGGCCAACGGGAGCACGGAGGAAATGCTGCTGCCGAAAAAAGGGGATAGGTCTGTTCAGCCATGATCCTCTAATATTACAGCTGGTTCTCTATAATTAAAGGAACCTAGAGGAAAGGGAAAGACTCTCTTTTTATTCAAACACGGCGAAATTGTTCTACAGAATAAATTTTTTTTGTGTCTGCCTGATGTAAAAGCCCCCAATTGTTTGCTTCATTTAAGCTGAAGTCATCCAATTTCTTAATCAGGAAATGTCTGAGAACAAAGATCTTTTTCCTCATTAAAATCTTTATAAAAAGCTGCCAAAAAACTTTCAGAAGGAATTTCAGAGGTAGAAAAAAACTAAAGATAAGTCATGACAAAAACACAGATGTGAGAAAAGAATCATATTAAGATAAAAGACAACACCAAAGATTTCCTTTAAAGAAACCACATTACGGACCATAAAAAATAAGTTTAATGACAACAAATCTCTACCACATTTTCTTGGCAAAAAAACTTTTTCCTTTATAAAGACCTGTTGGAACAATACACCAAGAGTTACACTGCAGAACAAAGGGACCCTAACGTGGAGAGTGTGCATCTTTTTCTTCATGAGGCCTTCCATCTTTACATGCAAGACTGTAGGTCAACATAGCTTTATGCCAAATTTACCATTTACACATCCACCCATACTTCTTGAGATTGTATTACTTATTTTCACAAACAACTTTTCTGAGAGTTTTTCTTAGTTTTGTTCTCCCATGCAGGTTTGAACGAGACCAAGAAGACACGTTCACGTTGGAAATAGATGACATAGCTCCTTTGAAGAAGATTAGAGTTCGGATTGACGGCACTGGGAGCCGCCCAGACTGGTTTCTTGACAGGGTAACACAGAAACCTGTTTATGTCCCTGTCTAATAATTAGTGGTGTCAAAAGTACACACATTTGTTACTTAAGTAGAAGTATAGATACTGCAGTTTAAAAACACTCTGGTAAAAGTTGAAGTATCAACTTGACCTCTTTACTTAAGTAAAAGTGAAAAAGTATGTGCTCCAAAATCTACTTAAAGTATAAAAGTATAAAGTAACCTTTAAAAAAAAAAAGCCATATGCCACTATATGTATTGAAAGTTCAATTTTTTAACTATTTCTAAAATTTCTTTGAAATAGTGCCAAGGATGAGGGAGGTCTTGTCGGTCTCTATCTCCATCTCCCAATACGCTCTCTGTGTCCGACCTTTTAGACATTTCGCCGTCTTTTTCTGAATCCAACATTATAGCATGGTTTAGACAATTCGCCTTTTTCACCTAAAAATTGAAGGAATAGAAAGTACAGATACTTGTATGAAAATGTAACAGTAATTGCCAATGGGTCAGTTATGTCAATAAGATGACTCTTTATCTGCTCCCTTTTGTAAAATGGTTTAATGTGGGCAAATTTTGGGGGTTATGAATATGAATTGCTACAATAAGATCTAGTCCAGACTTTGACCTGGCCATTTAACAATCCTCGGCCATTTAACAATCGTCAGCCATTTAGATGATTTTCACCACTTTTCCATTATTATTATTTTTTTGTGTGGATAGCTGTTGTTACTGTAGTTCACCGCAGACCAGAAGCTGTAGAAAAGGATCTCAATAACTTAGTTTTTTAATTTATTTATTAACCCTGTTTAAAAAAATTGTGTCTATTATGCACAGCTTTCTGGGATTTTGCTTGCCTGCTTCATGCTATCAGACAGTCCTGCTTAATTAATTCAGGAAGTTTACAGTTCAAGCAGCCGGTAAACATGTGGTTATTCACTGTTACTTTAGCAATCCAAGTTGAGACGGTTTAGCTTTTAATGATTGACATCATTTGAAAACATCTTAACAGCTGTTTTGCAGTGCTGTCCTCTAGAACCAGCCTGTCAGGCTGTGGATCCTTTTAACAACCATTTATCCTTTTGTTCTTAATGCTCACTTTTAGATCCTTATGAGGAACCTGACCACGGAGGAGGAATATCAGTTCACCTATGAGAACTGGCTGTCCCAGACTAAAGGGCCCAGAAGGACAAAAGTGTGTGAGCTTCCGGCAGTCGTGGATGATGAGGAGATGGTGGAAAAAACTACTTATATTATCCAAGTGCAGACCAGTGATGTTGGAGGTACATCACTGGAGTTTTATGCTGAGTTCCATAGAACTCTGAACTTTATTTTAATAGATTGGATCTATCTTAATCTTAATCTCTGAGATAAATGAGCTAAGTTCCAGTTTTTCATTTGTGGATCTTTTTATTCTCCATTGCCAATACTGCAGCCACTGTTACAACCATAACGACAAAAACAATATTCTATGCATATACACAGCAAAAGCATATTGTCCTCCAACACAAATAGTACCTGAACATCTGAACTAATGCTTTAGATATGTTAGAACTGCTAAAAAAGTCAAAAATAGCTCATTTTAACTGCTGTTGACTAAGTCGTATCCATTTTGAATAGGCAAGGCAAGGCAAGGCAACTTTATTTGTATTGCACAATTCAGTACAAAGACGATGCAAAAGTGCTTTACATGATTAAAATATAGGACAATAAAACAGAATCAAAGCAAGTAGGAAAAAAAATAAAATAAAAAATGCAGAAACAAAAAAGAACATTAAAAACAGTTGGACTAAAGAAAACAAAAAAGTTGAACTAATGATGTTTCAGTTGAACTGTTTAACTATAACAGGCAATCCCAAACAAATGTGTTTTTAGTCTTGATTTAAAGGAACTCAGGCTTTCCACACTTTTCCAGTTTTCCGGAAGTTTGTTCCAGATAAGTGGAGAATAAGAAGGTCCATTACCGTAACAAATTTTGGGCTCATAATTCCGATTTAGGGGAGCGTTCCAGCTAAACTAACTCTAAAGTTGAAAATTTCAACTTCCATTGAGAAATGAAACGCACTATTAGACAGGTGATCGGGGGATTTTATTGAGTGAAATCTTAAATACCACGTTTCTCTATGTCTGTTTTTTTTATTTTTACATTTGATGCAATATTTCAGGCGGAGGTACTGATGCCAACGTGTTTTTAATCGTGTTTGGAGAGTATGGCGACACTGGGACACTGCCTCTGAAGGAGAGCACCAATAGGAACAAGTTTGAGCGGAAGATGAAGGATGTATTCAGATTCCCTGACATGCTCAGTCTGGGGGAGCTGTCCAAAGTTCGAGTGTGGCATGACAATAAAGGTAAGAAGAGGAGGTTTACAAGGTGTAATACGCATATTCTGATTATTGGTGACCAAACTAGCACCTGTTATGCATTTTAGACCAGTACAGTCTGTTTTTGTGTAACCATTTATAGAAACAACTTTAAATGCATGAATGTATTGAAATATAAAGAAAGGAATTTGAAAAAGAATTATAAATGCAAAAATGTTTATAAGCTTTAATGCCTCTGCTGTAAACAGGTCCAGCACCTGGGTGGCACTTGGAGTACATTGACATCAAAGACGAGGCCATGGACCAGACCTTTAGGTTCCCCTGTGACCGCTGGTTGGCTAAAAATGAAGATGACGGGCAAATTATACGGGAGCTGGCATGTGCCAACAATGACTCTATAGACCTCAGTGACAAAACCAGTAAGTATTTTTATTAAAAAAACAAAAACATACCATCTTAAACCTCTGTGAGCTGATTTCAGCCACATGAAAAATTACTGTTTCTGTTTTTCTAAAGAATATGAAATCGTCACCACCACTGCTAACACAGACGACGCCTCCACCTCAGAAAACGCCTGGATTGTGTTAGAAGGAAGGAAAGCCAGATCCAAAGAGTTTGTTCTGGAGAACAAGAAAAAAAAGTTTTTAAGGCAAGACTTAAAAAACTCTGTTTTTATGTAGTGCCTTCCAAAACCAGTTTTAGTCTTTTCAGTTGAATCATACATTAGAAAATGTTAGTAATTAATCAAAAACAGAAAATTCCAGTAACCATGATAAACATAGGTCAGTAATACAGACATGACATGGGAGCTGCAGAGGTCCATCGCTCAGTTGGAAAATCTGTTTCCATCATTCCACAAATCTGGACTTTTAAAGGTAAAAAAAAGAAAAGTAAACTTTTGGAAGGTAAACAAAAACCTACAGACTCTTGTTTTCAAGTTGCCACAAGCTTTCATTAAAGGGACCCATCAGGCATGTAGAAGGTACTTTGGCTAAATGATTTGCAACTCCATCTAAAGAGGAAAACTAACTCAGCACCCTGGACACACCATTCCCACTGTGGTAAAGACTGAGGATGGGAGGAACTTTATTAACTAATTGTTTATTGGGGAATCCACTGAGTGGATTAAAAGTTAGAATCAAAACAAAGTGGGCTGGACAACAAAGGTATAGAGAGATTTTCAGATATTTTGTTGTAAAATGTTTCCCTTCATAGGTATGCACTAATTCTTCTGGTCTAACACATAAAAATCCCCGAATAACACTTAGATTTCAGTGGTTATAACAACAGAAGATGAGAAAATGTTAAAGATGTAGCAATGCATTTATGAGAAACTGTTAAGCCTTGCATAATATCTAATTGCTCATACGTTTCTGTCGTTTTATCATCAAGCTTCTTTCTCTGCAGCCCAGTTTCTTTTCTCTGGAGAGATAATCCCAGTGTGCACAAAAAAAAAACTCTGACTTATTGATCTATTTTCCTTTTTTCATAACCTCATCCTGAATAAGCCTCCGTAATAGTTCTGACTTTTTGCTAACTTTTACAGCGGTGCCACTGACACATTTGAGTTCTCTTCCAAACACTTGGGGGAAATCGCTGGCATCTGCCTGGGCCACATCACAAAGGATGGAAAGAAGGTGAAGAAAGAAGTCTTTTGGCACATCTGGGAGGTAGTGGTGACAGAAAAGGAGCTGGGAAACAAGTAAGTGGAATCCCACACAACCTACATAGTGTTATGTAAGAAAAGTCCTTTGATGACTCTCTTCTTGTTTAGGTATTTTTTTCACTGTGACGCACGAATCCCTCTGGCAGCCAAAAAAGACCATTTCCAAACTTTTGAGTGCTTTAAATCCATCGAGAGCTTCGCCAGCAAAGTTCGAAAACTGGTCCCCGTCAAGTACGAAATCATGATCATCACTGGGGACATCAAAAGGGCTGGAACGGACGCTAATGTTTACATCACAATCTATGGGG